CTGTCATCATGTCCTATCACTAGCTGGAAAACACAGCAGTTGTTTCCAGATTTCATCTTGTGGCAGATGTTAGCATTAAGAAACTTTGTGAATCTTATTTCTCTAAAGTCCGTTGATCTTAACAATGTAAGTAAGTCCTATCTGTTTGTCTAGGTTTTACCTGAAGAGATAAACTAGTATTAATACTGCATTATTAGAGAAAAATGATTGGTTTACTTGTATGAAACCACTGTGCTGCATGTGAACCTGATCAAACATTCATCTTGAGAAGGTTCAGATTAGGATAGGCACTAGAAGTACTGGATCTTTCTCTGTAAATGTCTCCTGAGGAATCAACAATATAAAAATGTGGATTTCATCACATAATTTCATTGTCATTTTGGCTGACCTTTTTATTTAAGCTAATCTTATTTTTAGTGCATGTGTTTAGAGATTTTGGTCATAATTCATAAAAATAATTATTAAATTAGAAATTTAATGGGAGTTTTTTATGAGTTTGCAACTGACTCATAAATGAATCATCCAGCTTCAGCGCCATTGATTTTTAAAATGTCTTGCGTAATAGAATCCTAATTTCACTTACAAGATTTCCAATAATTTACATAAATAATAGCATATGAAGCTCTTATTCTCCATTTCTTCAGATCTCTCCTCAAAACTTATCTCTGCTATGGTGCCCAAAATAATAGATAATCAATAAAGATTGACAGTTGTTTAAGTCAATGTTTTTCTCCTCTCAGTACGATTTGTTTTAAAGATAAGCACATTATCTTAAGATAAACACATTTTGTTATCACACCTGCAATTTTATTAATTATTATGTACTAGGTAAAGCTCAGCTGGCAAACGTGTGGGAAGCCTCAAAAAATACAAAGTACCACCAAACTTCAAAAGCTAAGCTTTGGACACTCAAAGGATGAACAAGGCTAGAGACAGTTTTCTAATGTTTCTGTGAAACTGGCTTACATTAATTTCATAGAAGGCAGATGGAACAGGACTGAAAACTGCCCACAGCCTAGTTCTTTGTACATTGTAGTTGCAATGCTTAAAGCAACAGCATTTCCAACTGTCACCTGAAGAAAAAAAAAAATAGAAAAGTTAAGTTTCCTCTGATACGTCTAGGCTTTATTGTTACTACTTTAGCAACAATTATTAAATTTCTAAGCAAATAAAATATTTCATTCCAAGAAAAAGTAATAGAAGCCAGACAAAGTGACTCAGTCTGTTTAAAACAAGGCATTTCCTCTGGAATTTGTTGCTTGATATCTAGTCCTCTTTATTATTCTATACAATACTCTCTCTGAAAGAGGAGCTGTTTCTCAGGAGAACTTTGGCTAATAAAAGGAAAATATTTCAGCTCAACATTGGTAATATCATTTAGGAAGGTGAACATAAAACCAGCAAAGAGTAAGCTAAGCAATTAACATAGTGGGGGCAAACTATGTGGGAATGGAGGAAAATAGAAATCTGATTTGAGCTAAATTGCTGAGAAACACTTATAAAACTGACACAGAAAGGAGTTTTTCAGTCTGTGCATCATAACTTAATATAGAAATTTTCTTTCATGACATAATTTAAATTATACCACTGACTATTTTCAAACTTGTGGTCACATGGGCTCTTATATAAGTAAATTAGCCCAATTTACCTAAAGGTATGATTTCTGAAAGACTACTTAAACCACACTTTGAAGTGAATTAAGCTAAATCAAATCAAGGTCACATTAACTCTGAAAGACGGTGTGCACAAAATCTATCAATGTAGTCCAACTGACCCTTCCTGAAAGACTGATTTGGATAGCCAAACATCCCTGGTAGAAAAATCTCAGCGATTTTAGTTAAGAGATGTAAGTACCACCATGATTCCCAGGGTAGATAGTGACCCTAAAAGCATACTCCATAGGCTTGCCCTAAAGTGAGACCTGTACCTCTGATAATCGTGGAATGGCTTGGGTTGGAAGGTACCTTAAAGATCATCTAGTTCCAACTCCCCTGATCTAGTTCCAACCCCCCTGAATCTACCAAGGGGTTGTGACAGAGAAAAACGCAGTTTTTTTCACCATCATTCTTCCAGCTGGGTCCAAAAGAACATTAAGCCCCTGTTAGAATTGCCCCTCTTGGGGCAGCTATTAAACTTGCAGATGTTTTCCAGTGACCCAGAAAAGCCTTCTCAATTTATTAAAATGCACTAGTCTAGGGTTCTAAAATCAATATGGGAAAACAAACTTAATACCTATGGCCAGGCTGGCAGCATTTCTCCCTTTTCAGGTCATGAGTGTGGGAGAACAGGTGAGTGCTGCAGCTGATCTGTTACATCACCTAATCCTGGCTCTGGCAAGCCCAGAGAGAAATAATAGTAAACAGTGAAGTCTATAAATGGCTCCAGAAACGACATCTTGTTTTTATATAGTTTTCTTTGAGTCGTTAACAGTCAGGCGCCACTACTACTGAAACTTATCGTTATTAAAACCACAAATGGGCTCAGTGTCCAAAAGGGTTCCCTTAGCTGGTTTAAAGGAAATAACAAAGTCCAACCCGTAGAGACCAAACAGTAACAAGAAAAAAAGATCCCAGAGAGATATTAGAATGTAGTATTTAAAACTGGACTTTAAAGGCCTCTTGTAAATGAGTGCTCCAGATACTGATCAAGGATAAATTGTGGTTTACAGAAATGGTTTAAACAACAAAAAAGAAACAGTGCACAACCTGTGGAAGGCTTCTACCAGCTCAGCTGACCAGCAATATGGGAGAGGAAGGCTTTTGGATTTGGCTTTTGAACACCAGTGAAACTGCCTGGCTGATGCTAAAGGATTGCTTGTGAAAATAGAGAACTTGATGCTAGTTTTAAAAGTGGAGGAACTGTGCTCTTAAACCTAATGATCACAGGGGGTCTATCAAATTCCGTTTCTCTTCTCCAACAGTGGCCAAAACCCAGATACCTCACTGAAAAGTGCCAGAAACCCTAAAGCGAGCAGTTATGGAATAGACATCATGTTAGGAAAAATGTTTTCCAAACCCCCATTAGTCAGACAATTGGCTTCACTGTGAAGTAGGACAGTTCATATTCTTACAGATATTGTGCTCTTTTTTTCCCCCATGCTTTTATATGTAACAACATAGTCCTATGTTTTCTCATTCTGCTTGAAAATATCTACTTCTCTTCTAAATTCTGCTGAATTCCTGGCCTCAAAAATATCTTGTGTCAATGTAGTCTACAATCTAATTGTATCTATTATAAAAAATTTCCTGTCTTTAAATTTATAGCCTATAACCAAATGCACAAACTGCAAAACTGAACAAATATGAGTTTTTAACAACCTCAAATTGTGCCAGGGGAGGTTTAGATTGGATATTAGGTAAAATTTCTTCCCTGAAAGGGTTGTCAAGCACTGGAACAGGCTGCCCAGTGAAGTGGTTGAGTCGCCATCCCTGGAGGTATTTAAAAGACATGTAGATGTGGCACTTAGGGACATGGTTTAGTGGTGGACTTGGCAGTGTTAGCTTTACAGTTGGACTTGATGCTCTTAAAAGGTCTTTTCCAACCTAAATGATTCTATGATTCATTGTAGCACAAATAATTTCAGATAACATCATTTTGTATGTTATGCCCATCCTCTTTTAAGACAATCTTACATTTTTCCAATCATTCTTCACTCTGGAGTGTCTCATTGTCTGCTCCCTAAATTATCCTCTCTTCCCACCTTTGAAATACTTCTATCATCTAACCCACATCCTTTTAAAGACAGAACAAGCCAAAGGCAGCGGAGTGGTCCAGGCAATTCTGGGCGGGGATACGAATAGGTAAGTTATAACATCCTGTTTGCCCTTTTTAACTGTGGCTGTTCTTTGAGTATAGATTAAAGTTGAGTTGCCAATAGTCACACTCAGCTCTTTCCTCCAATGGAATAAAGGCAGGTTATATGCATGCACAAGTAGTTTATTTATTTTCTGTTCTTTTGCCTTTGTCAGTAAAAACATAGACATCACTTCCAGTCCTCTTTTCCTTTTTTAAACTCCCTGGATTACATCCTGGGCTGGGATTTTTCTAATGGCAATGCAATAAACTGCAAAGTAATTTGGGAATTTTAGCCCCATCAGCTTCTGGGGAAGACGAGCCCAGCAGGCCTGCTTCCAGCCATGTGAAGTGCTCTGCCTCTCCTACATCCAGGGACAAGGGCTTTTCCCAGACAAGAACAGAAAGACCCCTATGGCTCAGGACTTTTCTACTAATTTCTACTTTCATGGGAACGAAGGACGATTTCTGATGCTCCCCACACCTCCCTCACCTGAGGACAAGGGTTGCAAAAAACCGGGAGAGGAGTGGTATGGACAGAAGGACACAGCTGTAAAGGACCTCCTTGGTCACCTTGTTCAGTCCCTGCTCTCTGGGACAAGGGTGCTACACAGTGCCCTTCATTAACTTATTACCATTCACCTTCACCTTAGGGTGCTTCCCCCACAGCTGTAGTCCCAACAGCCCCTGCCATTAGGCACCTTCTGACTTCCAACCTAAATCTAGGCAGAATGACTTCACACATGCATCTCCCTGTGCCATTTTGGCTCTTCAGCTTCACTAGCTCTTCTCCCTCTGAGGCGTCCCTCGGCCCTGGAGCACACTGCGCAGGGCATCACGCCTACCCCTTCCTCACAGCCAGGCCGCCATCTTGCCAACAACCCCTTCCTCAAGGCCAGGCCGCCATGTCACCACACTCCTCCACAGACATCCACCACAGAGACCACTCACGGCCTCCCAGCCTTGCCCGCAGCCTCTAACCTGTACAGACCGGCCGGGCTGGCGGGGAAAGCCCACCGTGGCCCCGCTCGGGGGTGTAGGAGCGGGGCGGGGGCTGAGGCCGCGCCTGCCCGGGCGGTTTTAGGCGCGGAACCCTGGCGGCATAGGGGCGTGTTCCCAGCCGGGGCGAGCGGCCGAGTAGCGCCGGGCCCTGAGCGCTGGGAGCGTCGGGCGCCTTGGAAACGGACGGAAACTGTGAGGGAGCGGCGGCGGGAGGATGCTGAGCCCCGAGCGGCTGTCGCTGCCGGGGCCCGAGTACCTGGGTGAGGAGCGGGGAGACGCGGCGGGGTAGCGCCCCGACGGGCCTCGTCCCCTGGAGAGGGCTCGGTGGGGCCGGGGGTGACTGTGGCCCGGCCCGGCCTGGCCTTCCCGAGGACAGCGGCGAGCGGCCTCACCCCTCAGGAGTGACTCCGTGTCCGCCTTCTCGGCTGGGGAGGGGGCGGCACCGGGAGGGGGTTACAGCTCGGTGTCGTAGGGCGCTGCTTCCCCGGGTGCTCCCCTGAGGTGGGAGGGCTGTGGGGCCCTCTTGGGCCGCTGCCCTTAGATGAAGGCAGCGCCGGCCTGAGGGAGGTGAGCTGCGGTCTCCTCTCCTGTCACATTTGCGATGTGAGTAGTAACAAGCAACGTCCAGCTGCTCCATGGTAGACTGTAACCTTATTTGGCCCATTACCAACCTGTTTTGCTCCCAGGTCTACATAAGCAACCGTATTTTATGCTCATTTCCCAGCATGTGTAAGGATGGCTTTTTTTCTGAAATAAGGTGACGTTGGTAATGTTTCCCACGTAAAATGGAAATCTTTTAACTTACAAAGCAGCCGCTCCCTTGCAGACTACATCCTTTTAAGCTGATTCTAACAGTCTGTGTTACTGCTTGATGTTCCAGGAAACTAAGGAGCGAAGTGATTCGGTGTTAATGTGTCAAAAATAATTAGGATGGAATAATGTCAATATGACTTCATTTAATTCCTAAAGAGGAGATGAATTACAGGTAGTAAGCATTTGGAATGTGTTCAAGACAGTATTTTTGAAGTGAAACTCTTCAGCCATTACTTTCTAGGCCTAAGAGGCTGTTTGGTAATGACTGTTATAAAGGTATACATCATTTACTGTGGCTTTCTTGTACAAGGAAAGGTCAGAAATGGCATGGATTGCTTTGTGCTACTTGTTCCACACGATTTTGCTGTCTCTGGACAAAACTAGAGAAACACTGCTGGCTTCCAGTAAATGGAAAACCTGTCTTGCAGGGAGGAGACTAACAGAGCTTAGTTTGTTCAGCCTAGCAATAGTGTCAGTGAGGAGGGATCCAACTGTTCTTTCAAAGCACATCATAGCACTAAAGAGAGATGAAGTATTTAAGCAAAGGAGTGATCTAATTCATCTTAGAGTAGAATCTCTTTGTGGTATTGCTGCTAGGCTGCTGTTAGGGTACTTTGTGCATACCTGCATAGCTGCAATGCTATTCTGTGTTAAGGAAACTCAAGGCAGAAAGAAGAGTTTGTTTAGGGCTCTGTTTGGGGTGATTCTCAGGAGACTCAGTTTGCTGAAGTTCTTATTGCTGATTTCAATTCTGGAGCTAGTTCAGGTATTCGAGAACAGTATTGCAGTGTGCCATGTAGATACACCCTTTGGTTTTGTGCTACTCTATCACACTACATCAGCATTTTCAACCTACGCATTAATAGAGAGACTCATAACTTTTCCAGAGTTGCTCTAGGCTGAAACTTGCAAAATTTCTTTTTTTTAATGAGCCAACTTGGTTTTAGGTTAATTTAATTGTTTTTAATGAAATAGGCACTTAACTTTTACTTGTGTGAAACTTGACAGTAAGGATTGAATCACTCAAAACAATCTAGGAAGCAGACAAAAAATTCTTAAAGTGTAAGAATAAACCAGTTTTCTGTTTAACATCTGAAGTTGAGAAATGAGTTCTAAGAGATGTGCAAGATTGTTAGGTGCAAGCAGCTTTATTAGCCTACTTAAAGTGAGCCACCTTTTATCTCTGTTCCACACGCTGATCTACCATTCCCTTTTCATTTTGTAAAACCTTCAAAATTATTCTGACATTGAGGTCAGAAAAAGACACACATGTAAGCGTGTCAGGTTGAGCAATAACTTGTATAAGAGCTTGTTCTGTTGATCACGTAGTATGTCCTTCTGTTTAGGTTGCAATATCTGTTGTCTATTAGAGGGGCAAAAAGTGTCTGCTACATTACAGTATTGTTATTAGCTGTAAATGTTACCAATAACAATGTTTTTGTCTTCATGAGACTTTGTAACTTATCAAACTGCTTACAGATCCTACTGAATGAATTGTGTATCAGCAGTAGGAAAGTGGTTAAAAAACAAACAAAACCCACAAAACCCCAACTCTCCCTGCCCCCCGCCCCCCATAAACACATCTCCCCACATGTTTTCATAAGATGCTTTTATGTTTTCTACATTGACCTGGTATTCTGAAGTCACCATTCTTTGGATTTGTTCTATTGTGTGCCTCAAAGTCTTGTTAATGTAGTTGTCTGATGTGGGGTTGTAAGCAATTGTGATAAGTTTTGCTTTCTGTAATTTTATTCTGAAGTTGTGTTGCCCCAGGCTGCCACATAAGGTATTCTCTGAGTCTCCCAGATCAGATGACACTGTCTTTCCTGACCTGGAATGGGCAAACTTCACCTAACCTCTTTTTCCCTTTTTCCTTTTTCAATATCAAAAACAGGCCAACAAATAAAACGAGTGGCCAAAATAACATTACATGCTACTTGCTGCATTAATCTTTTTTTTTTTTTTTCCCTTTCCTATTTGAGATGATTCTTTCACATCCAGTTTGGATGCTGAGGGAGATAAAAGCAGTTGTGAATTAAAATAGAAGTGAACAGGGAGAGAATTAAGCATTCACTTAAGATGAAAAATAATAGCAAAGCTTTGGTACAGCAGAGTTCCTGGAGAATAAAAATCAGGGCAACACATCTCATACCACAATGATTGTGGGACAGTAAGTAGAACAGAGATGACTGATACTCAGTGAATAGGAAAGGAGATGAGGTCTGCAGAGTTGGCAGAAAGGCTACAGTGAAGATGTTGTAACAAGCAGGACATTTTAAACAGTATTTTCACTGAATAAACAACATTTAGTGTTTGGGGATAGTGATGAAAATGTGTTTCTCATTTAATGAATGAGACTGGAACTACAGTAGGCAAAATGAGGCCTATTTGAGATACTTTTCCATGCCTTCCTCATTATGGTTTAATAACTGGTGATTGCTTAGTTATTTATAGCAGGCAATGGAGCACTTAGTGTATTGTTCTGCTCATGCAGCTGTCTTCTAAAGCTTCAAATTTTATCCCCCCCCCCCCCCCCGCCCCCTTCCCTGTTATGGAGAAAAAGCAGTAGATTATTGCAAATTTTTGAACTTTTATTTTTCTCTGGATTCTCCTCCCCTCTACTCCCCAACTCCAGGATGTGCTTTCTTTTCTTCCTTTGCCAATATGAGACATGTAAGAACACAAATACTCTGTTAGGGAAATGCCTTATCAGTAAAGCATGGGGCTATTGAGTGCCAGAAACATGGTTGTGTTTCCTCATCTCTCTCATAAGAGGTCTCAGGCTTCATGATTAGAAAGAACATTCATGGTATTGGTGCTTTTACAAAACTGAGTACCTCCCGACAGAGAACTTCAGTTGTGTGGAGACTTTGCAGGTACCTAGGGTTTACTTTTCTTCTGAACAGTCTTAAGAAATACTGATTTGGAAAGTCCAAGTGCAATAGTTTTCTTTAACAGCATAATCAATGTATAGGTTATGTTGTTATCCAGGCATCTCAGCTGATACTGAGTCTCCTCTTAGTCTAGATATTTGATGAGCTTCTGTGAGGCACTCTCGCTGAAACAGTTTATGGTCTAAAAAGCAGAAGAGAATGCCTTTTTTTATTTTTTTTATTTTTTTTTAATTTCTTGCCCTGTTGTACACATAGGACAACTATAACGTGGAAGATAAATGACTTCCCCACTGATGCACAGGGGTTTGTTTGCATGTAGAAATGTTAGTTAAGTTTGAATCTTCTTAGACTCAGTCTAGTACTTTCTCCAAAAGATGGAGATTTCGTCTCCAAACCTGCTGTTGCATTACAGGACTTCCACCTTAACTTGAAAGGTAACAGGTGAAATCTGATCCTGATTGAGGTACAGTTCCAGAACTGGAGAGTACATAGTCCTTCTACATTTGAGTATGAATAGGTAGGGAACCATTAGGCTACTTAATGCCTTATAGCAAGCTGGAATGACAGTTACTTCCACAACATTAATAATACACAGCATAAATTCAGTTTGTTTTGTTTTTTTTAAAAAAAAAGATAGCTCAACAATTTTGCATTGGTGAGGTGATGATTTCTAGCAGCTATACAACATCTTGCAGAAGGTGGTCTGCTGGAAGGACTTAGACAATTAAGTTAGTCTGTGTGCAGTCTCAGGAGTGCAAACTGAAAAAGTACAATGTCGTGGTTTGTGACAAATATGCTGATTAATTGTTTGAAACAAATTTTCAGTTATGGTCAAGATTAAATTATAAACTGAAACATTTATTAAACTTTTTGTTGAAAGTGGTTTTGAAACTGTGAAAGTATGAAATACAGTATAGTTATACTGTGTGGCCTCTTAGCATGTGTTCCTGAGTAACAGCGGATGTCTCGCATCATAGTGTTATCTTTGGTGTGACAAGGTCTACTTGTACTTCAAAAAAAAAATTTTTTTTCAGGGTTAATGGGAAGTTACACTGTGAAGCTGTGCAAAGCTGGAAGGAACTACAGCTGTAGTGATTTAGCTTTTAAGTTGATCGTTTTGTTTACATACTTCTCTTGCTCAGGCCATCCCTTAGCGATATCTGAAGAGATTAAATCCCTAATGAGAATGGGTGAAATCCTTAATGATATCTGAAACATTAAAAAGAGCATCCTGAAAGACCATTAATGCTGGAAAAACTTCCAGAGTTGACATGAATTTGTTCTTGCAGTTTGTATCCTTACTAATTCCCTCTTGCATCATTATTGTTTTGGTAATATTTGTATGAAATTGGTTTTGTGTTACTATAGATGTGACTTTCCTATGTGCATAATACAGTAGTGTCCTTAGTTAAGCTCCAGTTCAGAATAAATTCTGAATTAGTATTTAGCTGTTACTTTATATGCTCTCAGAGATTAAAAAATGGCAGAAGTATTCCAAATACATTAAAGCTTGTTGTGCTCTTGAACTTCTGATAACTGAAATGAATCTTAACATTAATTGCATCAAATAGTGTGTATTTTCAGCATTTCAGTTGAGGAGGAGGCAAATCACTAATAAAAGCTGGTCTTATTATCCAGGAATTCCCACCTGATTTTTTCAATATATTCAGTTATGCCAGGAATGAACCAGCCATTAAAAAAAAAGCCCTGTTATGTACATACAGTACAAATTGTTTTGGTAGGCAGCTCATGTTCCAGAATAAGTCATCTCTCATGAAGAGTTGAGCAATAATGTGGCTAGCTGATTTGATAATAATTTGATAAATACTTACCTCCACTACAGAGCTCTGTTCTGCTGCTTCTTTAAACAAGGTATGTGATTCGTGTTTTACTATCTGATACCAACTTATTCCAATCATACTCTTTCTTCAGGTCATTTGGCACACTTTATTTTTCTTTTGCAACATCTGCTGCTGTTTTTATTGCATCTATTGGCCGTCCCATGTTTGCTATTCCTTTCAAGTATGACAGGCAGCATCACTTCTTGGTAAGTGTGCTGATATACTGATCTTCAGTCTTTCTTCTCTTCCTTTAGAAAAGGCAAACCTGTTGGAAAGAGAAGCTTCTTATCAACATAGCATTAGGGAGATGCATCTAAGTTGTAAAACTGGGAAACTAATATGCAAAACCAGTACGGTTAACGTGATTGTGTTGCCAATACATGCTGAAGTAGGTATCATGTAACTGACACAAACAGTACTGTGGCACTTCCAAGGTCTTAATCCTCTCCGTTCCTCAGCACTGCTGATAATAAAAATATTACATATACGCAATATCATTACTTAAAAGTGACATGTATTCTTCCTTCCTCCTGAATTTCTGGCTTTGAGAATTTCAGTGCATATATTCTGTTTCATGCAGTGGTATTATTTGCATTAAATTCTCCCTCAAGATTTTTCAAGTATCAATGCTTGTTCTTACAGTATTTGTAATCAAACTTAAGAATTAACAGATTGTTTGTTCTCATAAAAAGATTGAAACAAGTAATTTGATGGCTTATAAAAGGACTATTTTTGCTATTTTAAATACACATGCGAAATGATTTGGTGCAGTTACGGCTAAATGGAATTAGTTGTGATTGTCTAATCTGTTGTTGTGATGTCCATAGACATTGTGGATTGACTGTGGATGTAATCCTCGTTTCTCCTTTTACTTATAAGATGGAGGAGATTTATATAATTTGGTCTGAATTGAACAGCCACTGTTCAGCCCTGCCTGAATTTGGTTCTAAGCTGAAAGTGGATTAATTCCAAAATTCACTTTAAACATTGGGCATGTGAGTGATGGTGGGGTGTGAGAATGTGAGTGTGGTGGTATTACCACCAGAGGCCATTCACCTAAGTGCTGCAGTGGCCAGCTTTGGAGGAGCTGTACTGTATATATTGCTACTGATTGAACAGAGGCTCTAACTGTAACCTCGCTGCTAGTGGTTTAGTGATAAGAATTAAAATATTCCGTGCAAAGCTATCTACTTAACATTAGGTCACGGGCTGCCCGAAGACTCCTCTGTGAACTTAATCCGTGAGATCCTTCTGTGAAATCTGCCTGGTAGTTCTTAAATCTGACAAAAAAGAGTAGCACCTACCAAATGAGTGTGGCAGGCACGCTTACTTACTGTTTGGGGTAGTTGCATGGGATTTCAGGAAAGAGTTTGGCAAATACAGATTGCTTTAGAAAGTTTTGTACGAGTAAGGAGGAGAACCTTTGTTGCGATAAGCCATAAACAAATAAAAGCTGAGGATGATAACCTGTTGTAACACCTCCTGTGTGGAAGCTGCAGTATACAGGAGTTCTATCAGGAAGAAAATGAGTAGAGACAGCAAGCTGTAATAGCACAATTGCGTGAGTATTTGGGCTTTACATTCTGATTTGGACTTGCTGCCTTATTATTGCAAAGTGAGCCTCAAAAGTATGAGCAACATGTATACCAATACACCATATCTCCCTGAATTTTCAAAAACTATTAAAACATATGAATCATCTCATTTATTTTGCACAGGACCTCACGGATTTATAACTCTGCTTGCATAAACAGTTAATGTTCCAGTATGGTTCCAGTGTTTGTTATGGAAAGTACCATTTGTATAAATTATGGAACTACTATTTTGCTATAACCAGACTCCTGGCACTTTATTTTGCCTTTCTGGCCTGCTAGAACCTGCCTGCATATTAGATTTTATTCTATGACTTTTCTGTGTAGGGTAGAGTTGGTTGGGTTATAAAACATACTACTCGTACCATTCCATGGAACTGGGCAGCCCACGAACAGGAAGCCAGAGCTGGAATTTGGTTTGGCAGTGTGAACTGTGCTACCTGGATAATAGCACAGCAGCCGAAGAGCCAAAGAGAGAGACTTCTCAAGGAGATTGCAAGTGCTATTTTATTTCAGTTTCTCTGCTCACCAATTTCTTCCCCGCCCCACGCCTCTACCTACGTTCTGGGAAATAGGGAGAGAGGTTCTTTGCCAGGATCCTTAGGCCATGCAACAAAAAGCTTAACAGAAGTACCCTTTTACCAGCAACTGTATTCAACAGTGACCCATGTCTATATGTGTACATTTTTAAGTGTGACAGAAATGTCTGAAATTCTGTGTTGAAAGTTAATTTATTCTCCAGGAGCAGACTCGAAGGTATTTGCTATAGAGGTCAGCCACATTGTGCTTTCTAGCACTGTGGGACCATGCCTGTCTATTCCCATAGGCTTTTAAGGGAGAGATTAATGACTCTAAAGAAGCAAAATAACAAAAATATATGTTTCATTGATAGGGCCTATTCTATGAAAGGAGTGTATACTTCCCCACAAAGTTTTGAGAATGGCTTTGCAGTTGAGCAGAAGTTATTGCAGGCTGAGATGAGTGGAAGCCTGTCTGCTAGTACCGTTTCCTGGCTTAATTTGGTACCGCTGACAGCTCAAGAGGGGCCTGAAAAGACAGTTTCTGAGTGCAAGATGGGCTGCATGAAGAAGAGGGAGGAAGGATGGGCTGAAATAAAGTTACCCAGTTGCTGTTATCTTGAGCCTGTGACTGAGCTGCACGACTCATTCCTCCCTCGGGGGACACAGGTGCGCAGAGCTATTTTTCTTTAATCACTCACATAAATTAAATTTATTCCTTTGCATTAAAATAATTAAATAAAGCTACGCCCTGTATCTTTTAGTACCAGATAATATCTTTGAACCTTTGGCTCACCATTTTGCTATCAGCTGCAAGGTATTTTCCAGGGTGTGCTTAACCAATTTTACCATTGTCCTGAAAAGTGTTCTAGGCAGAGAAATCCCCTGATAGCAATCAATGTTCATACATACTTTTAATCACTGTATCCACTGGGAATAATCATTTCCGGGCTTCTCTTTAAGTCCACCTGCCTCACACTAAGATGAAAGGGACTTCCATGCTGTGTATCAAGTGGTGCAGGCTTGATGCTTACCAGGATATTAAGCACAAATTAAAATGGTTTGAAGCATATTGATGTGGGTCTGAGGTTGGCCAGTTGCTGGTGAGGGGATGATGCTGCCAAGTCTGGAGCAGATTGGCAAGGAGCAAGAACAGCCCTTGCCTTTCCTATATCCCCTAAGGGTTATCTCCTGCTCCTTTTTAGGACACGACACTACTTGCAAAGGTGCAGTAGCATACGTGTTTAGGATGGAGGCGTGTGCTTTGGGAACAGGGTTTGTGTGCTTTCCAGGTTAGGAATGATTTTCCTGGGTTTGTTGTGACTTGTCTTCTGATTGTTGAACTTGTAGATTTGGAAAGTCTGCTGCGTGGTAGCTGGCGCATCACCCCAGACTCGGCTCTTTGTTGCTCTAACTTGATTTCTAGCCAAAAACATCAAAGGGGCTCAGTGGCAAATCTGTGTGGCTTCCTCCCTGGCAAATGCTTGGTTTGTACAGAGTCTGCCCCCTGCAGAAGCAGCAAAATGGTTTGTGTTGTCCCAAACTATCTTTACTCAATAGTCTTAAAAGTGAGTGGCATTCTGTGGTTGAGTACTGGCAGATCCACCACTTCTGAAATTTCCTTATGTTTGGTTTAGGCAGCTATTTGAGACTGACTCTTGAGCAATATAAATCTCTCTTGGCATTGAGACCTGTTCCCCACCTGCTACTCCAAGAACATTCATTGATGCTTGTATGGAAACAGATGTACTTTTATTTGCACCTTTAGGGAAAAAAAACTTTACAGAACAACCTTAGAGCTACTTGGCTTTGGTAAGGAGGGAAGGGCAGGGAACACCTAAAGCTCTGCAAAAGCTCCATCAATACAGCATTGACAATCTGTATAGGAAAGATGGCTGTGACTCAGAACAGAGATCAGGAACTTCTCTTGAGTAAGCATTTTCCAGTGAGGCAGTCTCACAACTCCTTCTCCTCTTCCTTCACTTCCAGAATCCCAGGGGATTTTGAAAAAGGGTCAGCACTGTTAATGACTAACTCTGTGTAGCCAGGAAAGAAAGCAGGATTTAGGTCAGGAATTTTACTATCCATATCTGGGGGAATGAAACCTCTACTCTCTAACTGAGGGAGCAAATGCTTGTTGGCTTGTTGTGTAAGGCACACAACCAGGCTGGTCTGGCTCTGGGCTTTGCAGGCCCCTTGTATTCTAATTTCTGTCTCTTACTGTCTTTTATTTGCAGCTCAAAGACATGTCCTCACGTACATGGAGGATGCAGTGAGCCAGCTGCTGGAGAACAGAGAAGATATTAGTCAGTATGGCATTGCCAGGTTCTTCACTGAATAGTAAGTACATCAGGATGCTGCCAATAGGGCCAGTCTGAGGGGGGCTTTTGGAAACAGGCAGGGTACATGGAGAATGGGGCTGGACACATGCTGATTATGTTGTGAATGCTGGATTTCACTGGGTTAGCCAAGGGCTGCCTGAGCATGTTTCGGAAACGTGCATGGGTTTCGTACAGTTCAGTACCTCTTCTGTTACAAACATTCATGTGAAGCAGTCACTTTGGGGAACAGAGCTTTTAAAAGCATATAGAAAACCAAATTCTGCTTGCCTTAATCAAGGCTGTTAGTATCAAAAGCAGAGACTGCTGCTGGTTTCAGCAGCACTCATTCTTCCTTTCTCTGAATTTGAACTGTTTTGTCTTCTTGTGTGATTGTTGGCCTATTGAATGCTTTAATAGAATGCCTCTTCCTCCCTTATAACCTGCATAAGTCCTTAAATAATGAACATAATAATTAACACAGATAATCTCTTCCTACTACTTTGGAAAGATTTTTTTTTTGGGGGGGGGAAAGCTATGTGCTGGTCTTCAGTGTTGTTGATGTTGACTCAGCCGATTGCTGTATGTTTTGCCAACTTGATCATGTATTGCACAATGTCTAAAACTCCAGGCAGCTTCATTAAAGATCTGTTGGTAATGTGTGTACTTGCAGTGGTGTCGTGGTTTAACCCCAGCCAGCAACTAAGCACCACGCAGCTGCTCACTTACTTCCCCCCCATCCAGTGGGATGGGGGAGAAAATCAGGAAAGGAAGTAAAACTCATGGGTTGAGATAAGAACGGTTTAATAGAACAGAAAAGAAGAAACTAATAATGATAATGATAACACTAATAAAATGACAACAGTAGTAATAAAAGGATTGGAATGTACAAATGATGCGCAGGGCAATTGCTCACCCCCCGCCGACCGACACCCAGCCAGTCCCCCAGTGGCGAACCCCTGCCCCCCACTTCCCAGTTCCTAAACTAGATGGGACGTCCCATGGTATGGAATACACTGTTGGCCAGTTTGGGTCAGGTGCCCTGGCTGGGCATGAGAAGCTGAAAAATCCTTGACTATAGTCTAAACACTACTGAGCAACAACTGAAAACATCAGTGTTATCAACATTCTTCACATACTGAACTCAAAACATAGCACTGTACCAGCTACTAGGAAGACAGTTAACTCTATCCCAGCTGAAACCAGGACAAGTGGTTATAAGTCTCTGTCTTTTGATGCCCATTTGAAAATCTTGCCTTGCTTGCTTCCTTCCTGTTACCTTTTTCTGAGGCAAATCAATGTGTAGAGTATTTCACAACAGTTTCTGTACTACAGTAGCGGAAGAGGATCTCAAAGCATAGGAATAGCTTGCTTTCTCAGTTGACCACAGTTTCTTTTTTTTTTGGGGGGGGGGGAAGGGGGTGTTTTGTTTTTTTTCTGCACATCAGTGTCCATCTGATCTCCAAATGAGGTCTAACTTGCTAGTTCGACTGATTGGACAACTTGCATTATATTTTCTTGCCCCATGTACATTTTCAATTTTTAAACAACTGAGATTCTCACTGGTAAATGAGTAACTAAGATAAATACTGCAGCAAGTTGGAGGGGAAATTCTTAAAGCTTCCCCCCCCCCCAAGACTAGTGTGATTTTGACCATCTTGGCAGAGGAGGTAAGATATCAGCTATCTTGCTACATCTGTTTGTATAACAGCTCTTTTAGATAGATGGCACTGTAACAAGAAAATATTGTTTCTTGGTAGTATGTTATCTCTTTTGCTCTCAACAAAGTACTTCCAACTTTCACGTGGCATGAGTGATCCATGTTGCAAAATCTGGAAGACCCATGCAAAACAGTATAAAGGCAATTTTACTAGAAGAATCAAACAGCTTATCAAGGCTGTTTAGTTTTACTGTTAACATTTCTCTGTAGCTTAGTAACTAGAATGAATACTGATTTTAAAAGACCTCAGAAATCTATTTTAGAAGCAAATAATACTTGGTACTACATGGATTTTATAATATTTTTTGTTGTTGTTTATGAAGTAGCTCAAACTCTCAGAACGACTCTGCATTCCCTCTTTGTAGACTACCAAAGTTAAAAAAATGCATAGTATCAGGCTACACAAACCAATGAGCAGTATACTTCCATGTTCTGAGCAAGTTGCAGTGGTCGCTGCTAAGTGGGGGTTGCAGAGAATTAATCATTGGGGTATTGGGGACAAATGAAGGTACAACCTGTGCACTTGACGTGATTGGGAATCACAATACTCCACCTGATGTAGGTGAGTTTCCACAGAAAGTAATACTGAGATAAGTCAGCTGAACAAATAGTAAACAAGAGCTTAAGAAAGATAAAGAGCATGACTACAATGACCTCCACCCACCAACAGGATTTCTTTACCAGAGTTGAAGGCAAGGTGGCTCTGAAATACCCAGCTGAATTCGTTATTCAGGCATCTCTCCAGATCGGATTTGGTTTGCACCTACTTTGAAGCTGACACCTCAGGGCCTTTTCTAAACTTCTGATCATATATACTTAAAAAATTAAATGGTGAGCAAGAGGTCTTCCATGCTTTCTGAAACTGCTCACATTGCTTCTCTATAGTATTTCTTCTTCATGACATGATAACCATCTTATTTTCATTTCCTATCCCTCTTCTACCTTTGAAAGAGTAAATAGTAATTCAAGGTTGTTATAACAAACAAAACTGTCACCATAGAGCACAACCCTCTGATCGACTTAGGTGCTGAAGATCGTGTTTTTCCCATTTATTTTCAAAGAAAGATGTGAATTTCTATAACGGCTTTTTGTTCACACTGAGTGTTCTGTAGAGCTTCTGATTTCTTGAAAGGCAGGAAAAGACTGCATGTTCGTTTCTTCTGTAAGTAATATAGAACTAGTCATTCTTTTTCTTTTTTTCTTTTTGCTTTTTTTTTTTTTTTTTTTTTAGTATGTCTGGAGTTAGCAGATCAAACTGTGTTCCTGTACCAAAGCACAAACAGGCTTAGTGATTTTGAGAGCTGTGAAACTCTTAAGATTTGAGATGTGGGATTCTTTATTTAAAGTGGAGAGTAAATGATCAGTAATATGGGTGTAGGTAGACTCAGAATACAAAGTTTCCTATTACGAAAGGCTCACAGGGCTTAGTGGTGAACCCTCACTGCCCAATAGATTTCTGTTCATCCATGCAACTTGTCAACATTTGTTCAGGCTGTGCTTTGAAGGCTACCCTGCTCTGCCAAGCAGATAAGCTTGATCTTGATTTTTATCTTTAATCTCAGTATCTTCAAACTCAAAGATAACTTGTGAGATTCCAGAAGGTTTGTTTACATTCTCCCAGTGTTTTCCTTGTTCTAGGTTATTCTAAGTGAGAGGATTGTCATGTGCATATTTTGAAGTATGCTGCAGTGATTTGAGATGAAGGGACTTGATTGGGACAGCTGTCCAGTTTTTAACATTTTGCTTTCTCTATTTATGCTCACTTAAAATTAGAGACCAAGCCCAGGGTTTAGAAAGCTAGCAGTAAGGCCCAAGAAAGTGACTTTTTTCTCCCCCCCCCCTTTTTTTTTTTTAAATGTGCATGGGATAAAGTAATGAGTTCTGTAACTTTTCAGAAGTAATGAAGTTAGTGTGTCAAGGATGGGTGTTAGATATTCTCCAAACTCTTCTCAGAGGGCACACTTTTCAATAGAGTGGTGTTCCATGGACCTTTCTTGCTGGATTCACGACTCGAGCAATCATGGACTCTGCATCATGCATTGCAATGCCCCACCTCACCATGAGTCACTTCAAATGTTTGTGCTAGTTACAACAACTATTTTTATGGGTAGTTAAGAAAATTTTGTTGGGGTTTAGCTTACCTGAGTGAAATTTCATAGCTGAAAACTATGTGGTCATGTAGCTCTGTATGGATCAAGCAGTAAGTGTTTTGCAGGCAATGAGTGTTTCTAGTTGTTTCTAGGCAATGAAATTGGCTAGGTATTCTACTGCTACCCACAGCCTAGCACCAGGATTGCTGATTGCAGAGGGCTGACCTTCATCTCTATGTTTCTCCTTGCAGAATATTTTTAGTCTTCAAGGATGTTTTTTCTCCTACTTTATTCCATTGTTCATTTGTCCCAATCATGTGGACATCTGCTTTCAATTTTGGGAGTACCTTGAGGCTTCCCTCATCTGACTCACCCCTGACTCTTACAGGAATAGAGATCAATCACCCTTCTGCCAATTAATCCACATCTTTTAGCTAAACAAATAAAATGCCTCTCTTAGGACTAGTCTTGATTTTATAGATATGCTGAAATGCTACTGGTATTTGTTCATTACAAACCCAAGAAATCTCTGCACTGGTTTTGAATCTGCATGAAATGCAGACTCTTGAAAGCCCTCTGTGTAATTACACACTAATGCTGCTTTACTTCTTCCAGGCTAACTTCTGTGCCAACATATCTTAAAGGGACATGATCCTCCTATACATTATTTATCATCCTGTTTTCTTGATCTTTCCTGTACTGAAGAAAAACAGGGCCCCCATGCTAATGCATTTGATCACAGAGAGGGAATATGCATAGCATCCCACTTTGTATTTTCTGGGATCTTAAAGGAGTCTGTGTGGCTTTTTTTTCACTTCAGCTGGAAGAAGCAGCAACAAAAATTTTTGACCAAGAGACTTCCTACTAGTAATTTTTGCTTTTCTTCTGGGCTAACCCTTTGCTTGAAACTTTCTCTTCTGGTTTGCAGGTAGATGTGCTACTCTGTTCAAGACTCTTTGGAAAGCTCAGAAGTATTGATCAGCGATAACTTACCTTGGGCAGGAGACTCTTCTTCCTATCACTTTTATAGTATATTTGATAAACAAAACACAAGTGAACTAGAGACACAGGAAAAGGCATTTTTCTGTCTATGTTCTTCTCCCAAAACACTTCTTGTTTCTTTTGTGTCTGGTGAAATGTCTTCCTGATCACCTGCCAACTGGAGCATGATTGAGAAAGACATCTTGCTTTTAGCTTGCAGATGGAGCACTA